TACAATTCCTACAGATATGCATGGTCCCTAAAGGACGTATCGTGGAGCCTTATCCTGCAGCTCCACCAGGAGCTTCTCACTCTCGTGGTTTCGAGTGACGTGTTTCGACAGCTCTTGGATGGATTGTCATTGCCACTAAACCTCTAATCAAACTCTGGCTTAATTATTAATCTTTGACCCGGCTTTAAGAGGCAGAATTGGCCATTAGCCACACAAACACAGTTTTCTCGTCTCCGGCTTTTGTGCACACGTTTGCTTTGGTTTTACTGCAACACCTGACCCTGAAAACACCTTACGCCTGAAAACACCTCACTTGGAGTTGATAAGAGTTTTATGAGACGTGGTTGGATGAGAGTGTGTCGGCTCTCCTGGACGCTGGGTTACTATATTAGACCTCTTCCACCGGGCTTTGCTGCACAGTGTGGAATAACAGTACAGGTGTAACAGTATCGGCAACACCTTGCTGAGAACACAGCCGGGAAGTTGTTTTGTTTTAGAGCTCGACTCATTCCAGGGACTGAAACTTGGGTTTTCCCAGCGTCTGACGCTTTCTTTTTATAATCTCCTTCAAGTTTCCCGTAAAGTAAAAGTAAAACGCAAACTTGCTGGAGTGCACACCTACTGTGTTGTTGGTATTTTGGGGAGTGGCCACAGCTGAAACCTGAGGCTCGTAGACGTTCATAAGAGCTGCAGGAGAAGGAATGTCTCAAAGATTTACTTGCATCATTTCATCTTATTCTCGCTGCTCTCTGCACTTGTACAGTAATCTCTCTTTTTCTCTTCTGTACACATTCTTTTTTTTAGGTCTTTTTGGCCAGACACACTATGACATGAAGACATCGGGCTATTTCCGTCTCTGCTTGTTGCTCTAAGAAGGGTGAAGGGCTCTATTTGTTGATGTTATTGCAGCTGGAAAGTGTTTTTTAGACTTGTGGTGTCCAGACTGCTGTGAAGTCCACAGAGAGACACACACACAGCATTAAAAGGTGCCCTGGTATCAGTTTAGCCCACGTTCACACACACAAGGTCAAGCTGGCAGCGAACTTCCGCGCTGGGGTCACATCGGTGGCTACAAGCTGATTTACTGGACACAAAAGCTTCACCCTTGAGGACAAGAGGGTTGTCTTTATGGTAAACCAGCATGTGACCTCATTAAGGGGCAAAGCCACAAACACAGACATAACTAACTTCCTATTGGAAGAGACAAAGCCCAGAAGCCTTTGCCCTACATGGAGCAGGAGGATATGATTAACTTTCTGTCAAGGTGAGACTTACAGTATTTATTGCTTTAAAAAAGTAATCGCAGCGCTTCGCTGAGCACATTTGCTTTATGACAAGTTTAGAGGTCAGGATCAGTTTTCCATCATGGAACGGGTTGAGCTCAGGGTTTTTGTTCCTGCAGGAACATGCTGGGCGCCACTGGGTTGTAGGGCCAACTTTGGCTGAGGGCGGCTCACGCACTAACCAGAAGGTCAGAGGTTCCTCCAGGTCACACGCTGGAGGGTCCTCCACCCAGAACCCTAAATTGTCTGTAATTGGCCGTTCTGTCCAAGTGTCAATCACCCGCGACATCACTCATTGGTTTGTGAGTCGTGGAAGCAGAGGAGCGAGGGGGTGAGCCTGAGTGAGCACTTGAGGACACTGCATGCCCACGTAAACCTGCGGCCTGCACTCGCTGGACGGTATTAGCACTTTGGAGTCTACACGTGCATTTTTATAAACAGTCTGATTCCATCAGAGTGAATAATGTGAGAAGGAAAAGCAAACCACGCAGCAAACTAACGACAGGAAGGTATGTTACAGCAAATGCAGCTCGATTAGAAGGATTAACTGGGTCAGAGAGGGCAACATTTCCATGATTAATACAGACGCATGTGTTTATGTTATCAGGGGTCATCTAGGTGCCCCAGGGCCGGCATGCCACGAGGTCCTGCCTGTGACCTCTCCAGTGATTCACTCTTGAAGGAGGAATCCTTAAATAATAGGTCAGTGCAATAACAGGGCTTATTTTGAATCAGCAGTGAGCGAAGAGCGCTTGGAAAGCATCTTTTCAGGAATCTGCGATACCACGACCTCGATGCGAGGAGCGGAGGAGTCGACTTATCGTACATGGTGTTGTTTACATTTGGGACCGAGACGTCTGACTCACTTGAGAGAACATGCGTGTCCCGACTGTTAAGGAAACACATTTTAACCATCTGGACGAGCCCAGAGGCCACGGCAGACTGGAATGAAGATAGGTTCACTAAATCTCCTATCCCTTTGTTGGAGCCTAGCACTGCACAGAACTCGCTGCAGCCAGTAAAAAATATCTTCAAAGACAAAGTTATGGGTCTAACTCCTTAAAACACGGCTTGTCTTCATATTAACTGGACGATGGAGGTTTTAAACTTTGACAAAGGCACATAAATGGGTTGGGTTGTGGGAATAATTGACTTCTGTGGCAAAGAGGGGGACTTTTTAATCCAGATCCTAAGTCATTAGTGTTGCGAAATCTGAAAACATGCGAGGACATAATCCAACAACAGACTCATAAACTTAACACGACTCCCGGGCCGACCTATAAAAACACTGGCACGTGAAACGGTTCTAAGAAAGAGGAAATGAAAAGGTAAAGACGAGGTTCAGCTTTGCAGCGTTCATTAATTCCACTGTTTCCAACGGTAACGCTTTGTATTTGTGTTTTCTTTTCATTCATCATGAAAACTTTGGTTAAACTTTAACATATCAAGCTTCAATTCCAGTTCCTTGTCATGAAGGTTCGATGACGACGTGTTAGGAGTAATATCATTTAGTATCTCAGGTGTGTTTCTAAGTCACAACTTGTTCCCCCCTCTTTGTCTCTCCTTCGTTAACCTCCCTCCAGGAGACGTTTTTACAGCAATTTGTTCCCGTCCTCCATTAACGCCAGCCTCCGTGCAGCGATAAACACAAGGACCCAATTCAGCAGCAACAGTTTCATTGTGCCGAGCTGAGTGGTTTCACATTTTCCTGGAAGTACGTTCTCAGAAATATGTCGCCTGGCTACCTTTTAATTTAGTGTCTTTGCCGTTAGCTTTGAGACCTTTTGCCCCACGTGCATTAGGATCTAACTAGGGTACGTTCAGCGAGCTCTAAATACAAACCAGATGCAAACAGTGAGTAAGAAAACACTGTAAATGTAGTTCGACCCTACATGTCAGTGGAGTCGTGTCGAGTCTTAAACACACAGCTGCTCAGAAGTCTCTCAGGGTCCCGTGGAAAGCTTCCACTGCTGCGTGGAACATTTGTTTTATGCATGCAGCCTCTACAGCTGATTTCACTCTGTAGTCATCCATTACTTTCCCATGTGAGCTCTTAGGCATTATAGACGGCAGCCTGGCTGAAACTGAAAACATGCTGCTCCTGAGTCACAGTGACACGAGGCCTGGACGCTCACAGTGGATCCATGCATCTGAAAAAAAAATCCCCCTTTTTTTTAATTTTTGGTTCAAATGCAGCCACATGCAGGCAGAGAGTCTGTTGGCAATTTTCTCTCTTTTATTTAAGTGTGTGTGGTTGAGCGCGGGGGTAATTTTCTGATCGCGAGACTCGAGGAACGCGAGGCCGACGGAGGCACGCTACGTCAACTGAGAGACGAGCCGGGGCCGGGCTCTAGACTTGTAGTTATAGAGCTGTTGGTTCCCCCCGTAGAGAATATAGGATACACTCTAAGTGGTGGAGGGGCCCCTGCTCACGCTCACACACACACATGCAGCAAAACCCCAGAGCGATCACGTCCAATTTGTACGTTGAATTGAGTGTTCGGCGCTCGAGAAGCAGGCTCGATGCCAAGAATAACACCGCAGTCGTAGCTGGATGACGTTTAAAAACAGTGGTGGAATTAATCATTCAGGATTTTGGTAGCAGTTCAAAAAATTAATCTGAGGGATTTATACCGCTGGGGGCTCGGTGCCTTGCTTCAGGGCACTTAAGGCAAACTACATCACTGATAACGGGTGATTAAACCTGCACAATGTTTGGTTACAAAGCGAAAGAAAGGAAATGTAAATAAATAGAATAAAAATGTGAAAAATGTCTGTATGTGGCTCGTGTATCTGGAGAAATGTTTATCTTTTCTACTTCACACTTGACATGTGAGTTGTGAAAAGCCGGAGGAAGCGCAGTGTCGAATTTAGTGCGATTTGGACACGTGATACATTCAATATATTAATAAACAGGCGACGCACAGGTTCTGTGCACTCTGAGCTCCACTGAACTTTGAATGAACAGGTGAGCAGATCTTTCTGGGTTCAGCGGCAGGTCACTTTTACAGATTTACAAGAAAATCTACAACCAGCGTCACCAGAAACCAAACAAACTGCCCAGTCCAAGTGAAAACAGAGAGAGAGAGAGAGAGAGAGAGATTTGTGAATGCGGAGTGGTTAAGAGACAAAGGTTAAGGGAGAGTGGAGAAACAGATACGGGTTCAAAGACATATACGGAGGTATATGAGGAGTAAAAGGCAACTGATGCTTGATTTACAAAGTGAGGAAGACAAAAACAAGGAGCGAGAGCACGAGCATGACAGTGTGTGAGAGTAGGTGAGTTACTGAGTGTGTGAGAACATGCATCTGTGTGTGTGTGTGTGTGTGTGTGTGTGTGTGTGTGTACAGTATGTAGAGTATTTCCGCGGCCGCGCCGTGTCTACATCTGGCCGGCATTTAAGAGGCCACTCGCTGGGAGCGAGGGATGACACAGAGGAGCGGGGGAAATGAAACAGAGACAGGACGGAGCTGTGACGCGGGAAAAGATCTGAGGTTCACAAAGGGCTGTGGCCTCGAACCCACTCGATCTTGCTCGTCGGTTAATTCAGGTCGATGCTTCGAGTCGTCAGGTTTACGTTTGAGTTGCATGAACCTGGTACTGCGCTGTAGTACTCTGAGCGTGTACACTGTTTAGCAGTGATGTTAATTATTATGTTGTTGGGTTTGTTTCTTCACATTTTGGTGACCTCTGCGTTTTTTCACATTTTCTCTTAGGTGACAGAGAACATCATCTCCAAACAAACCTTCATAGGTGAGCATCACACACACACACACTCACTCACACACAGAGAGACAATGACACAAATCCATCTGAATCATCGTCTCGGACTTTCTGACTCTTCTCTCTCCCTCAGAGGCGAGAACCATGCCTCGCTCTTTCAACAACTCGGGGTCAAAGTTCATGACCTCGGTGGCCCAGAGGCCGTCGGCCCACTTGACCCTCAGAGAAACCAGCCCTCCAGGTGAGATGTGTGTGTGTGTGTCAGTAAATCAAAATGATCAGAATTTTAAAAAACTGCTTCCATCATTGACTGTAGATAAAGATGGACGACGCTTGTACAAACATGGAGCTAAAATAAACCGAGTCAGTCTCAGCTGTCAATCATGACCTGTCTTTGAGGATCCACGTCCCATCTACTAACACGGAGGAGCATCACTGATCATATTCTCAGGTTATGTTTTTCGGGTTTTGTTTTCACGTAAACTACAGAGCTGATTTCTGTGAAATGGTGTGGAGGGGTGGGGCCTGAGCAGAAGGAGACTCCTTCACGTGGCGAGACGAGCCACCAAGACATTCAAACACTGGAACAGGAAAAAACGTACGCAACGTCTCGGCGTGGACAACAGACACAGCCGCTGCCCGGGGTGACTCACAAGGAGGAAGAAATCCCTTAAAAATATTCTTTAAATTGCCTCAGTTATCTTTTTATCTTTGTCTAACCCTTTAATATGAACTCAGGATCTCTGAGATCTCCTCAATCATCCCTCACTGTGGAATATCCGGGAACAGGCCGCCGGAATACAACTTAAATTAAGTGAGGAAATCCCTTAATAATTATTGTAAGGGCGGGCTGAGGCTCGTAAGCAACATTAGAACTTCAACTCTCCGTGTCAAGGATCAAATTCCGTTGTTTTCTCTCCATTACGGTCACTTATCCCTCGTAAATTCCACCTTAATCTTAAATAGAAGTTGTTTTGTTTTACAGTAAAGGATTTGGCGTCTTTGTGCCTCGGCCTGATTGTTTGCTGCTATAAATTCCACCTCTTGTGTGCTGGAGGCGTTTCTCTACAGGAAAAGCTTTCATGAAGTAGATATGGGCTGAATCAGTGGAGCAGACTTTTATTGGGCCGGCATCAGAGATAAGAATAATTGAGGGCATGTGTGTTGTAAAGAGCTGTAAAGCTCTGGATTGTGTTTTTCATGCGTGTGTGTCTGTGTTTGTGTGTGTGCGTTATCCAGACCGTATAATTTCATTTGAGAGCTGGCATGCAGGCGACAAGGTGCTGAGAATCTGGCAAAGGCCGCCTGATGTTATTCCCATTTAATTGACAAAGGGCAAGCAGTGTGTGTGTGTGTGTGTGTGTGTGTGTGTGTGTGTGTGTGTGTGTGTGTGTGTGTGTGTGTGTGTGAGGTTCACACATTCAGCCTGGTTTTCTCAGAAGGAAGTAACAGCGAGAGGAAATTTAAGGGTGGAACCTTTTGATGTTTTTTTTTCTATTGACTCATCAACACACTTATGTAAAGCAAACAATAGCATGTCGTGCACACACACACACACGCACACACACGCACGCACACACACACACAATTAATAAATAAACGCTATAATTCAAGTGATTACTGCAGCGACTGAAGTTCATGTTTGTTTTTTTAATCATGCAACTTTTACATTGTGTGGTTGCACCTGTGTTTGATTTGCAATCGTTTGTTCCTACACAAACACACACACACACACACACACGAGTGATGAGACAGACACACAACACAGACACTAACGTTACCAGTTATCAAACTGTTATCAACTGACAAAACCATACAAGTCAATAATTAGGATTAGTTTTTGCCGATTTATAGAAGACGCTCGAAACCGTCTCCGAGCTCTTGATGTAACCACGACACTGAGGTAAATTACAGTTAATGCTGTCGGAGGAAAACCCGACTCGGTTTGTGGAGGAGAAAATACATGATATCCTTTATCTGCAGAAATATAACACACTCCCACCCCTGACAACAGTTTATTTTCCACATGGTATAAAAAAAAAAACCCGCTGTCATGCCGAAGACATCGAATAAAGACGTAGCTTGAGAGGTTATGACCGACATGTGCAAACATAACGGCCACATATTTCCCCTCCTCACTTTTTCCCCGTGTAAAACTTTGTGTTTCTCACGAGGACGAAACACCCGTTGTAATCAAATGCTTGTCACATTTACGGTGAACGGTTACGACGAGGATCAGGACTTTTCATACGTCCCTCAGTGTTTTTTAAAGACGCTGCTGGACTTTTATTAAAATTCGGGGAATGATGCGTTTCATTGCTGACTTCTGGCAGTTTTAAAACCACTCGCGGGTCACATACTGAATTTTATGGCTGGAGATGTTGTCTGCAGTATAATTTTATTCAAAAGGCTTTATATCCGAGCATCTGTTTACTTTTTATAGGAGTTTTATGAACAGTGTGAATATATTTTTGTTTGCCAGATTTACAAAAAAAGTTCAGAGAGAAGAACGAACCATGCGTCCGGTTCTTGTGAACACGATAACTCAAGAACGCCTTGAAGAAATCTCCTCACATTTGGTAGAGATGTTCACTTGGACTAACAGATGGTCTCATTAGATTTCAGTGGAGAAAGGTGAAAGGTCACGTTGATCTGCAGTGGGTGGTTATTCTTGTTTTGGTTTGATTCTTCCCTCGTCTCTTTCTCTGATCGACTCATCAATGTTTTTTTTTTTCCTTCCCACCAACAGTGGGGTCCTCTCCCTACCTGGGTCTCCACCAGTCTTGTCGCCACGTCGTCCGCTCGTGGGCGAATCAGAGCTTCGGAGCTCACCTGCACAACATGACCCTGTCCAATGGGAAGCTGCGAGTGCCTCAGGATGGGCGGTACTACCTGTACTCACAGGTGATCATAGCAGAGATGCACTAATGTTAGAGGAGCTGACAGATTTCATTTGAAAAGGTTGTGACCCAGAGAGAAGGGATTGAGTAGAGCCATGAACATCGCTTTAATAATCCAAGTCATTATTATTATTATTTCTATGACAAACACCCAGATCAACTCCAGACGATAACGCAAATGTTTTGAAGTTAACCATTTGTGTTTCTGCCTCCCATCTCCAGGTGTATTTCCGTTACCCCTCCCCAGCAGCCAATGACGGAGACCAGCGCAGCGTGAGCCACCAGCTGGTGCAGTGTGTCTACAAGAAAACCTCCTACCCGAGCCCCATACAGGTAGATCGCCACTCTCGACCCAAAACTATCGCGAGAAAACTTTAAGAACCGTTCTTACCTTCATTTCCTCTCGTCCTGCAGCTGCTGAAGGGGGTAGGAACCAAATGCTGGGCTCCGGACGCCGAGTACGCCCTGCACTCCGTCTACCAGGGAGGACTGTTCGAGCTGAGGGCCGGCGACGAGCTCTTCGTCTCCGTCTCGTCCCCCACCATGGTCAACGCCGACGATTCCTCCAGCTACTTCGGCGCCTTCCGCCTGGACCTCTGAGGGGGAAGGGAGAGGAGAGAAAAAACAGAAGAGATGATGGATGGATAAACGTGTGGGCTTGAGACAATGTGCTAGAGGCCTTTTGAAAATCCGCTGATTGGAAATAAAGACACAAGTGTGGGATGTGGGCCGGGATCTTGGATCTACGATGTTTGCATCAACAGATTCAATGAAGGATGGAAGGATTAATGTTTGACGAAGAGGAGGAGGAGGAGGAGGGGGGGGGGGGTGATAGAAAAAAAAGAAAATAATTTGTCTTCCTAACTCTCTGTGAAGAGAGACCCAACAATCAAGAGAGCGAGAAACACAGAGATACAGGTGCAACCACGTGAAAACAAATAAGGATTTTGATTTATTGATATTTGAGGAGGACAAACATCCAATTTCCCAATTTGTTGAGAATCGCCCCAAAACACTTCAACCACCCCCCCCTTCCCCCTTCCCCCTCCCCCCCCCGGCTGCCTGTATCGCAAATTAACACACGAACCCCGATGTCTCTCGCTCATCAACAGCCTTTTTCATGGAAAGCAATCGAACCCTAACATTTGGATTGCAGACCGAAGAATGTACACAAACTAAAAACTTGATCCCGTCGCATTCCGAGATGTGAGGAAAGACTGTGGCAGAAGAAAATCACACGATCAAACCAAAAATCAAAAAAACGTGGAGTGTAACTTTTTTTTAAGCGTGCCGTGAGAGGACTGTACATACGTGTGACTGAGAACGAGGTGCAGACAACGAACTGCGGTGATTTAAAGTGACTCTCGTGTGCCTTGAACGGGACTTAACAGAAACCACTGGGGGAGTTTACGGAGGATTATCGACACGCAACACGAGGAGTGTGGATTTTAAGGATGAGGGGACGTCACGCTGCCTCTTTGAACTGTGAGAGGCAGCGAGGAGAGTTTCTGAGTCTGCAAGGGAAGCAGAAAAGAAAACAAGGAGGAGGAAGAGAGGGAATGAGCCTGGCAGAGGAAGATGAGAGCAAAAGAGAGAGAGAGAGATAGAGAGTGGTATGCAGCCTGACCAGTCTGTGTTGTTGCAGTTGTCTCTCTTTCACTTTGCCTCGTGCTCTTTTCTCCTCCTCCTCTTCTTTTTTTTTTTTTTTCGCAGAAAGAATTTTCAAATCAATGTCGTCTTTCCTGTCGAACCTGCGAAGCTGCACTCTCACGTGTCAACGAGGTGACATAAACATTCAAATGAGTTTGACGGACAAACTCTGACAGTGGATGATGGTTGATTTGTTTTAAAAGACGGTGTTTCATCATTGAAAATGTGTGTGAAGTTTTCAGACACTAAAACAACAAACGTCTTCCAAAGTGCAGATTTTCAGGAACTCTGGTTTCTGCAGACCTGTGTGCACATGTCAGGATTAATGAGCGTGCACCAGAAACAGCAACGGCAAGAATGGCGACCTTTGTGCTAAGCTAGCTTTCTTCTGGCCATATAGCTTCATTTAAAGTAAATAAATTTATGACCGCAGTATCAATCCTGTGAAGAACATTTCTCCAAATGCCTTAAATGCTCAACCACCAGCTCGTTATAAAGTGCCTCTCACACGTGCTTTAACGTTAAAACCACTGTAAACTTCATAAGTTTGTAAAACTCGTGGTCGGGTCGTATCTTCAGAAACAGCTGCACCTGCAACATGTCTGCCGCTCACCTGGAAGCACTACAAGGCCCGAACACGCCCATGTGCTGCAAACATGGAACATTAAGTCCATCGGCAACAAGATAACACAGACGAGACACGGAACAGATTTAGTACGAAGATGCACATGAAGAAAGATTTGAAGGGGGAAGTTTATCTGCAGACATAAACCACACCAGCACGGACTCAGCCCCTACACGCCCTTTTTCTTCCCTTCCTCTGGCACGCACACGTGAGCGCACATGTATGCACGTTCAGCAGATAACACGCATCATATCACACCACGTCCAGGGTACATCATACATCAGCCGGTGTCATATCCTGTGCAGGGAGACAAATAAACCCCCTGTGCCATATGATAGTGTTCAGTGATCCCGTGGAGGCGTGCAGGGAGTGTGTGTGTGTGATTGTGTGATTGTGTGAGTGTGTGTGTGTGTGTGTGTGTTTGCTCAAAGGGCTCGGTTCACACGAACACCTCAGAAATCGAGGTCAGACTGATCCACGCACACCTTTCTTTGTTTGTGTTCGAAACCTTCAACTTTGAAAGAGCAGCTGGTTAATTGGTTTTTAATCGGGCGACATCCAGGCTCAGCCGCTCCTCCTGCAGCTGCGGTTCACTTTTACCTGCGTCCGCTCACGTTGCACGGTTTGTTGTGGAAGTTGTGAAAACACGCACCGTTTGTTTTTTGTGCTCAAAGAACAAAATTGAAGACAAATTTCATTTTGTATTTGATTGCTGTCTTAGCTGCTTTTTATTTGTGTAAGTCGCTGGGTGGCGTGCACCTGGTCATGTTTCTGTTGGGCCTCCTTTCAAGCCCGTTCGACGCTGCGTCACTCACACCGAGCTCCCCGTGAACCCCCCCCCCCCTTCCCCCCCGAGTCTTAATCTCTTCATTTTCCAGACCAACGCTCGTACGGGCCTTTTTCTTTTCCTTTGCACTCCAACCAAAACAGGTCCAGCAAACATGACAAAGCAGCATAAATCCCTGGACCAGCGGGAAAACTCTGCGATGAATGTGCATGAGCAGAGTTTGGACCGGACAGTTTTGTAGCTGTGAATATGTGTAGCACATTGTTGCAAAGAAAATAAACAAATATCTGAACCTTTCTCGTGTGTGTGTGTGTGTGTGTGTGGTGTCGTACAGGAAGCAGCTATAGACTAAAGGGAAGCCTCATCGTCTTAACTGACCCCCGCTGGCTGTCCGCAATTAATACAACTGGTTTTTATTTTAAATGAAGTGTTTTTACGTTTTCTTCTACTCATCATTTCACCTCCAGCTTCAGTTCTCACTTTGCTGAAGCTGAAGAATTAGAAGCACGACACAGTTTCCGCTCTGCAGCTGACTCGTGACCTTCGACCTCTCTGTCGGAGTCGGCACAGGAGCCAAGTGAACACCTCGAGGGATCCGTCACGTTACTGCCTGACAGTTGGCAGCGGTTCTGTCGGGATTGAAAGTTTCTGCGTAGGAAGCGAAACCCCTGCAGGTTGGTTAATTAATTGGTTTCTGGCGTCTCAGTGGTTTCTATTTGCAGTAGCGTGCTGCGTGGGCTCGTCTCTCGTCGCCGCCGCGCTTCTTTTCTCAGTTTGAGGATAAATAAACAAGCCGTCCTTTGTTTTATGCTCAAAAAAATAATGGAAACCATGCGCCCGCCCGCACAGTGTGGGGCCCTGTCACCCCAAATTAACTTTGCATTTGATAACGGCTAAATTTAATTTTCTGTGTTTTCAGAAATCAAAAGAGCCAACGCCATCCTCTGACTGCAGAGTGAGTGTGTTTGTCACAGCTCGGGGCTCGATGTGAAGCAGCATGAAGGATTAAAGGAAAACAAATGTTTACGAGTTTGAATTTAATTCCTAAAGACAGTTTCGAGATCTAACGTATTAACACACAGGCTGCAAACAGTTTCGAGGGATGAGAATGTGTAAACACTGTATTTTAGTTGAATGTTCTCGGCTGCAAACTTCAATCACCTGTGTAACTCTTTTCCTCTAGTTGAAAACCAAACTACAGAGAAACCTACCCCCCGAAGAAGTGATGGGAAGAAACCATAACTGTACGAATTCACTGGTTCTGTCTGTTTCCTCTCTGGTGGGTCGTGATGGAGGAGGAGGAGGAGGAAACATGGCAGGTGTCAAAGTTCAACAACCCGACAGCGTGTGATCGTCACTCGCTGCGGTCCAACTCCAAAATCAGCTGCATGTCTCCGAAATCTGTTCAGAACTTTCCCAGCTTTATTGACTGCAAAGGATTTCATGCAGAATTTACACCTCAGTAGCTTTTGTTTCCTGGAGAATTCAGGCTTTACTCAGATGTATTCACCTTCAAATTAAAGCTGAGTCTTATTCACAATCACAGATTTATTCCAAACAGAAATTGAATCAGTCTTTTCTAAATGCGGCCAGAAAGAAAATTCTATTTCACTAACCACCGAGCCACCGTGCAGCCCCGAGGAAACGTCCCAGGATTAAATTAGATTTTCATTTATGCGAAAGCTGATCTGAAACAGGCTGTTTTATGTATCTGAGTTTATATATGTGCTCATACACAGTCTGGAACCAGCTCGGGATCCAACGCAAAGTCACTTTAATCCGTTTTTACTGTCAAACTGGAAAACACCACAGTCCAGATTGTTGAACTTGGCAGATCACTTGGTATAACTGAATAATTCTGTGTGGAGGATATACCATTCTCTCTGTAATTATATCCTGTGTGATTGTGTTGCATGTGGTTTTGCGCAAAAACACACAAAAGCAGCTTTGGACAAAATCTGTCCTTGAACGCCAGATCCGTCTCTACAGATCGTGCAGTTCCATTAGAAATTGCCAGACCACAAATCGGCGGCGCTGCATCGATCATTTGTTCTCCATTAGACCTGGAGAGAGATATTGAGCAGGCACTTTGAAAAGCTGTGGGACAGAGGCCTCGCATAAATCCGCACCGGGACGGATTTCCAGCTCCGCTCCGCTCCCGAGCTCCGGTCCAAGATCCACGCATACGCTTTGAAAGTAATGAGGCGTCCCGAGCAAAATTATATATCTCAGCACAAGACCTCGTTCCAGGGTCGACTGACCGGACGTCCAAAAGCAACCGCGTCTCTGGCGCTGCACGACGTGGAAAAACACCACAAAGCAGCCACTGTTAAAGCAACACTACACAACTGTTACTGAGCAACGGCGCCCCCTTCAGCCGCACGTGGGGGGGATTCATTCTGTCGGGCCCGAGCGATGACGTGGTTTCGAGTAGAGAAAAAACAAACGTGGAGCTCTGACTGTGTCGTCCCACTCACTGAACGGAAACTGATAATACCCATGATCCTCTTCTGCTTCCTGAACCTGAAGAGCTGCTGCTGAAACAAAATCCACCAAACTCTTCATCTTCATATTTTAAAAGTTTCCTGCTGAACACTGGAGATAATAATTTTAATAATAGATCTATAATAAATAGATTTCATGTCAAAATAAACCTGTATTCTGTCACGTGACCAACAGGGGGCGACTCCACTGGTAGTTTCTATAGAAGTCTATAGAAAATGACTCTTTATAACGTCAGTAAACATTTTCCTCAGGAGTTTGTTTCAGTCTCGGCTTCGTGTTGATTAAGCGAACGTGTTCCTGCTGCTGTTTTTAAAGTTGCTTTAAGAAGCTGCTTAATGAAAAACGTTTGTCCGACCTGGTTCATGTCGTTTGCAGGAATACTGTGATTTTAACTTCAAACTTTTAAACACGCAACTATTCTTAAAACTCAAGATGCTAACAAGAGACCGACTCTAAACTCGAGGCCCCGTGTGGAGCTGTGGGAACCGTTGGTGAAGTTTTATATGTTTTTAAGCAGATTACAGTTTTAATGATGTAACTCTGACCACACACGTTCGCAGGAGTCACGAATTCAAACCCATGTTTTGCTGCTCAAACAATAATTGAGTTTAACCAAACGAGGCTCAGCGAGCTCCTCCAGGTGCAAACGCAACCGAGGAGAATGTTCATGCTTCCACATCAGCTCCAGGAAAACATCTGTGGCTTATAATATTAAATTGAAAGCCATTAAATAGTGAAAGAGGGGTTTTTTATTTTATGATCTTTCCCCTAGAAGAAGTGTTGTCGGGGCAGCACAGGCTCGGACGGGAGGAATTACCCTGTGACATCACGTTGGTGGCTTCGAGACGAACGTGTCAGCTCATCAGGACCAGATGAGCGAGGTCGCTGCTCGGCCTCCAACGTGTCGGGAGCTGTTTAATCACATTGAGTTCCTGAGTGAAACTCACTAATTGGATGAGAACTGCTATACTTGTGAGGACTCGCTGAAGTGAGGAGAGGAGATTTTGGATTTCATGCGAATAGAAGAGAAAAGATTAACTCGTGTGCAGATGTTTTTTTTATAATCAACTTTCTGCTGCAGACGTTCAACACATAGTTTTTCTGATGAATTCATGATTAAGCAGCTGGAGCTCCTTCGATTTAAATTGTGTTTGAATAAAGTGCCGTCGAGTCGTTTTCCTTTAGCTCCACGTGAAATCCAGTAGAACTCTTATTCAAACGAACCCGTCACCGGATCAGATCTGAACACCGACGTGTCATTCGGACGACGGAAGCTCCTCCACGCTCCTCCTTGCACGTTCAGATGTAAAAATGAGAAATTTGACAGCCCGTTTTCAAAGCTGACGAAGAAGCAGAGATGTGTTTTCATAACTGAACCCGCCGTGCTTTGGCTTTTTATTTTTCCAGAATATCACAATCGACAGAAAAGTCCTAAAACAACTTGAACAGCTAATCTACTTATATGCAACTGTGATGGAGCACAGATGTGTCTGAGCAGAAGTGTTGGCATTGTAACCACACACACTCACACACACACACACACTCTGCTCTCTGAGGTTTTTAGAATAATAACCAGTGTGTTTTTTTTTAACTCTCCAGGTCAGCAGGTTAATCAGGAACTGAGCCTCACCTTCGGTTTGTGTTTTACGCCTCATTCATTGAGGATCTGGGGTCGTCGAGTGATGTGCGATAATTGCAGAGGCTGCGTGTGATGTTAACCTCATGTGGATCCACCGTCTGTCGTTTTGTTGAGTGAAAAATTCCAGCGCGAACTGCGTAATTATTTTTTACATCAAGGTTTCCCGCTGATCCAAACTCAACTCTCACCGACTGTAGCTGTAATTTGGCTCGATGCGTTTGTGCAGTTTCATAAAACTTTTACTTTTCTACCTCTGGTCATCGGCCACATGCGTAATTTGCAACGAAGAGCAAATGAAAATACAACTGAGACTCTTCTCTCTGGGTCATTATCAGGGAATCAATGCTCGAGGAGTTTTTCTTTCCATGAGTCCAAGTATGTGAAATTCCCTCAAGCTTGTAAACGTGTGAGACTTTGAATGAATTTAATAAAAAGGTTTTAACTGTATTTTGACATAATTGGGTTGATAATTCTTGGGCTTTTTGAAGACACAGTCACTTTGAACTAAAATCTCATCAGTTCGTCCTCGAGTCCGAGGTCTTGATATGTTGCGTTAAGCAGTCCAGAGTCCTCACCCCTCCGAGCCAGAGAGAAAAACCAACCGAGCCCGACGGATTCCAGCCAACGTGACCGAACGCAAATTAAAAGACTTTGACGAATTTGACTTCTTGAGACGTCAGGCCCAGGAGAACGGGACGGACGCACGACCTGAAGACATGACCGCGGCGGTCACCTGCGTAGAAGCGGAACAACTGAGCTTCTCCGTTGTGAAATATAGTTTCCACTTGACGCACACATGATGTAGATAAAAGTGACAGTGAATATATAAATTAACTGCCGGCCCTTGGCCTCGATAACACCTGTTGCCAATACATCAGTTTATACGACGCACCCAGGTGCTGGTGTTCAGAATTTTATTTCAAGTCAAATGGGGCCTTTAAAATGACTGATGGGCATCTAACAGGCTGATGATTCAATGGTCCGCCCGTCGACCACACGTTTCCTCTCGCCGCCTCTCGTCTCCTCCGCTCCATGAAGAATCCAGCGTGGACCCATAGAGATGAGAACCTTGAGCCACTTTTTAGAACTTCACTCGCAGGCCGTGTTCAATTATTGAACAGGGCGACTCATCAAAAGGAAAAAGCAGAAAAAA